AACCTGAGCAATACGCTCCTGTATTTCTGTCTTTCTTTGCAATACCCCTACTACTTGGGCTGACTGATATACGCTAACTGTACATGGTTTCGGCATCCGCATTTACTCATTATACTCATGGGGCCAAATAACCCGGAACAACGAGACCGACGTAGGAACATTATCGTTGAATTTTCGCTGTGATACATAGCTCCCCTTTGCACTTGTCATCCGATCCTGAGAATTTCTTTGTAGGCTTGAAATCACTAGAAACCTCACGTAACGAGCGAGCCTATTTCAACAGTGAAATAGAACTCGGAGTCTGTGCGCAAAAAGCCGTTATTCTGACTGGACTGTAACTAGTACAACGGATAAACTGGACTTGAGGTACGTACGCCTCGGAGTAATGCATGAGAATCGTGGATCCCATGGGTCAACTACACATCCTCGCCCCTGTTTGTAGGAAAATACTAGATTTAACCGTAACCGAGAGTCAAAACTCAAGGGTACTGCAAGAGCCCGCGTCGAGATCTTGTGATGGTAGGCTCCGGAACATTCACGCTTCAGTCATATGCTATTTAAATGGTAACCAGATACGTAATCGAGTCAATCAACCTCGCATACAACCAAGAGCCTGGCCTGAAAACGGGCAAACTGACCACGGCACGTGATGTGATGAGACCTGGATGCACAGACTCTGAATATCAAGTTGACCAGAAGCCGCAGCCTGCTTGCTGGTCCTGCAGTGTTGCCACTTATAAGCGCCCTACGTGGCGACCCCTATCATCCCGCGTCCTTGATTCGACTTCCTTACATGGCGGGCTTACCACGAAAGTCAAGTGTGAGTTGTGAGATACTAGTGAAAGTGCTGTAGGGCGAACTACGCGAGTGAGTATAAGGTTAGGGGACCGGAGGGCTTGTGGAGATGTCCGTTGATACCCTTCACTTGACACCAGGCGACACACGCGTATTAGTGCGCATATACTAGTCATTTAGTACTTGAGTCTATTGTCGGCTTACTACTTCTCGTATACTCGCCGTCACTGAGATAGGAGAGGTGTGTGACTTAGAGATAGTAAGAGGCCGCTGGTGCCAAGCGATGCAGTACGCTTTGCTTCGCCGATGTGGCGGCCAATGGATGCAGCCCAAAGGCCGCGAACATCTCGTTTATCGGATCTTCCATCAGCCTCATGGATGATTCTTCCTCGTACATCTTACTGCGTGGAACACAGGCCGCTCCAGCATGTTCTTGCCGCTCATCAGGAGTACAGTATCCATTCGAGTGAAGGGGCCAAAGCACTCAGTGAACGAAGTATAACAGCAGCCATTCCTTGCCCCCTGCTATCAATTCTTCGCATTCTCATAGCCACCCCAATGGAGCCTCTGGAGTACGATCAAGGTATCTTTGCACAGATCCAGACCGCTTTTGAGGAGCTCTACAATAGTCGGGGTAAGCCCGTTGAGCTCGATGAGGCGTTCGCAACAGAATTCCTCGGTCTTACCAGTGAACATCTTGCTGGGGAACGGGCTAGCTTTGACGCTCAGGCTGCGACAGTCAGCTTGCAGAGTGGCAGCAACTTATTGGTTGACACCACAATCAGGACTGAGAACCTCAGCTTCGTAGCTCAGACCTCGGAGCCTGTAGATCGCCGATTCTGGCGAGAACTCGTCGGATCAATGGGCAAAAACATTAAGCAAGCGCTATTCCGGTGTGTTGGTCAAGATCAAAGATCTGCCACGCAAAAGATGGCATATAGCGCCGATGGTATGCTTGCTATTAAAACAGTGCTGTCATCTGTATCCTTGACGAAAATTACCGTCATCCTAGGTCACAGTATTTCAGGCTATGGCCAAAGTACTGGCACTCCGATAGTAAAGGGGGATGCGGCGTCACTTATGTCGAAGCGCGTGGAGGGTTTTCTGGTGATGGTTGTGCACGGCGATGCTTGGACCAAGAGGTTCTTGGTAAGATATAGTTACACAGTATGTTGACAGGAGAATTGATGAAACGTAATTACATCCTGGAACATTAGTTTATCTGTAAGAAGTCGTTTATCGTGTGTTCTCTGGGCTTATTGCTTAACATCCTTTTGTAGCATCTCAACCCTACCAAGGGATTAATCAAATGAGAGGTGATGGCAAATGGGAGTAGATCTGGATGCTCTATGAACGGTCCATCCAGTATAGATAAGAACCGATAGGTCCTGGATGTCTGAAATTGTGCACAACAACGGAATCAATAAATGCTTTATAACCTTCTGACAGCGAGCAGTACTCTACTAGAATAAAAAGATATTGCGCGGCCCTTGGTCTCTCAATTATACTTTTAAAAGCTTCGGTTGCTGTATAACTTAACGCCCGCATATGCTAAGCCGCCAACTCGCGCTACCATTTGTTACGTGCGTCCAGATTAGATTTGAGAGTGACATCGAAAACCACTTGATAGTTTGGTGTAGCACCATATAACGAGCAGTAATAACGGGAGATTGAACAAATTAGTCTTTGGTGTCCAAGGAATGCTATCAGGCGACTCATAACGGGCTAGGACGTCAGCCTGGGTCCTGGTGGACCGGGTTCGAGCAGAGAACTGTTCATCTGACGAACTGCAAATGATGGTTGATGTTTTAGAAGAACAAGGTAGTTGAGTAGACGACGTGGGTAGTAGGATTAACTCCCCTTGACTGTTGCGATGAAGTTATCGTGGTGGACACTGGAAAATAGCGACCATATATGCGTCTGACGTGGCTGTGCACGCACAGACCAGCTCGGCTAACTTATACAGCCGTCCTACCCGGAAGCAAAAAAATTCCTTACAGTCAACTCGGTCCCCACAGTCACACGTACTACGTACTCCCGAAACGGCCTGGCTTGGGTAGTCTGACGGGTTCGAGGAGAGTGTCTTACGAGACTCATCGCTGGGCATGTCGTTGTCCGTTTTGTTGCTCTATTGGATTGGCGACTAATCAGCGTTGGGTGCATTTTTTTCGGTTTGGATGTTGTGTGCATGTTTTGTGGGTTTGAGATGTACTGGTATTTGTAGTGGATGAATGCAACACGGTTCTGAATTTTTTCTACCCTATTTCTTGCTCGAGGGTGGTTGGTTTGCCGCTCTGGGTCGGCGGGCCATCTCGAACAAGGTGACGAGATTGGTTCATTTCTCGGTTCGTTTAAATCCTTTCTTTTTGCTTCAAGGACGTCCCGCACCATCGAACTTGTCAATCCAAAATATGATTACATCAAATTATACATAAATTTGTAGATCCTCTACTGCTCGTTGACAAACACAGCGGCCATACCCATACCCGAGCCGATACACATACTCGTAACGATGATACGCTCATTGGTGCGCTTAGCATGGGCGAATGCAGTAGCGACTTGACGTGCTCCAGCTAAACGAGGGTGGGGTTAGGTTAAATTTATCGGCTGGGTAGAAGAGAGAACGTACTGCATCCGAGAGGGTGTCCCATGGCGATAGCTCCACCGCTGTGAAGATATGACCGTTAGTAGGGGTAGGTGTAGAATAACAGCGAGGAATACGTACTTCGGGTTCACTTTTTCGATCGGGATACCGAGGTGTTGGATGGACATGACAGCCTGGGACGCGAACGCCTCGTTGATCTCGAAAAAGTCGACCTCGGAAAGCTCCAGACCGGCCTTGGAGAGGACCTTGGGGATCGCAAACGCCGGGCCGACACCCATAATCTTGGGCGGAACTTTTCCGAGCCGTCAATAAACACTCGAAAAATAACACAATAAATATGGCGTACCTCCAACAACAGCCGACGTAACAAACTTGCCCAAAATCGGCAGCCCAAGTTTTTGCGCAACACTTCGTCGGGCCAAAAGCACAGCAGCAGCGCCGTCCGAAACCTGGCTCGCATTCCCAGCATGCGTCGAACCGGTTTTCGAAAACGCGGGCTTGAGCTTGGCCAAACTCTCCGCAGTCACACCCTCGCGGACGCCATCGTCCCGATCCACGACAATCTCCTTTTCCTCCCCGGTTTTGGGGTCAACCCACTTGGTCTTGACGGGGACAATTTCGGATTTGAAGTTGCCGGCTTTTTGGGCCGCGGCGGCTTTCTTGAACGAGTGCGCGGCAAAGGCGTCTTGGGTCTCGCGGCTGATTTTGAATTGGGCCGCGACGTTTTCGGAGGTGATGCCCATGGGAATGAGGCAGTCGGCCGATTCTTGGTTGGCCATGACTGCGTCGGAGAATGCGGCGGGCATGACGCCGGCGCCGTATCCGTGGGTCATGCTCTCTACACCAGCACCTATAGCGAAGTCATAATCAACAAAGATGTGGAAATACGTAGTCGAACAATAGACTCACCAATCCCAATGTCAATCTGCCCAGTGCTGATCTCGTTGGCGATTTGACTAACGGCCGTTAAACCAGAGCTACATTGTCGGTTGACGGTAAAGACAGAGCTCGAGTTGGGAATCCCGGCATGGAGAGCAGCCATTCGTGCCGCAGTAGCTCCTCCACCGGGAGGTAAAACATTACCGACCGCGACATCTTCAATCAGCTTCGGGTCAAGCTTGACCGAAGTATAGACCGCCTTCAAGACATTGCTCAACATCTCCTCGGGAAGTGTGTCCTTGAATCCTCCTTTCTTGGCCTGGAAAATCGATATCGTTTAGCTAGTGGCGAGAGCAATATGATTCATAATTAAAACCATACCTTGGTGATGGCCGTTCGGAGGGCAGAGACGACAACAACGTCGTTGGGAGACTGGGAAAGGATCTGAGACTTGGCCATTCTGAGTGGTGGTGGAAGTGGTAAAGGTGGTAGAGGTGGTAGAGGTCGAGGTGAAGTGTGGAGATCCGGGGCGCGGAGGGAGGCTCTATAAAACTGTCGGGTCACTCAGCAGACCGGCAAGGTGACCCGAATTGAACTTGGCATTAACCGTCATAGCCGGATTCACGTGGGTGGCTTGCATGTGAAAAGCGATAAAATGACCTGTGATAGGCGGTCTCATCTTGCAAGGGATCATACTGCGCCGGCGAGGCGCTTGAACCAATCTCCTATGGCGCAATCGGTGGCGCGTCTGACTGTTAGGCATGGCTGGTCATGCATACCCGAGCTTACATAATCAGAAGGTTGTTAGTTCGATCCTAACTGGGAGAGTTTTTTGTCTGTAGTTTGGGCAACTGCTTTACTCAGTTCTTCGGGGCTCGGTTTGATTTCTCCTAGCTACGAATGAGAAGTAAGAAAAATATATTTTTACATTGGCGTTTTCTCTAACATGTGACAACGAGGACAGCGACTACGGGAGGTACACAGACATATTTGTCGGTAAATTAAGCGCGAATATCAGCTGAGATTCTCGTCGATAGGGAACTCGACATGTTCACCGTGCACTACCAGTCCAACTCGTTCGCGTAGCCAATCGAGTTTCGTTCCTTGCCCGGATTCAACGATGTCGTCGAGGCCCCTGACTTCCGGTCCGATTATAATCTTTTCCGGCTGACGAGTTTCGATCACTTGTTGCATTCTGATTGGTCCATGGACATGTGTTGAACATGCAAGACCCGAAGACCATTGCGCCTCACATGGGGACCTGTACCGTCGAAGATTTTGCCCAGTGCAGTCGGCGTATGCATAGAATAGTG